GTTGGGTTTGAACTGGTTTGTGGTTTTATGTAACCTGCTTGGCGCTATTATGCTTCTAAGGTCTCTAGGTTTTCTAAAGATTAGTGTGGGCTTATCTGGGAGTACATTTCCTAGAGTGGGATCATCTTTCAGGATGTTCCAACTTTTGGACAAAATGTGTTTGATGTCCCAGGATTCATTGCTAAATCTAGTACAAAACCGTACGTCCACCTGGTTACTAGTAGCAGTGGGGCTCTTGGAGTTTGAGCAAGTTGCCATGTCGTTGGAAACTGTGGGGTTAAGGTCATATAGAAGTAAATATTTATTGAAGGCTGTTTCAATATGATTTTCATTGTAACCTTTTTCCTTGAATTTATTTTTGAGAATCAGACTCTGTTCTATATAGTCTTGTTTTAAAGTGCATGTGTATTTCAGCCTACAGAACTGACCATAGGGAACATTTTTAATCCATCGTGGATGATGGTTGCTTTTGGCATGTAAATATGAGTTCCCCGCTGTAGGTTTAAAATGTGTTTTAGAACATATCTGACCATTACGGTCATGTCTCAATTCCAGATCTAGAAACACTATTTTATCATCATCGATCATGTGGGTGAATAAAATATAGTAGGGATTCTTCCCACAGTGATCTAAAAATCCTTCTAGCTGAGAGTCAGTGCCGTTCCAGATGATTATAATGTCATCTATATATCTCCCATATAGAATCAGGTTTGCACTGAAGGGATTGTTAGTCCAAATGTAGTTGTTTTCCCAGTAGCCCATAAAAATATTTGCATAGCTGGGGGTGAATCTAGCGCCCATCGCAGTGCTCTGGATCTGATGATAGTGTTTGTCCAAAAATGAAAAATGGTTATGCTGTAGGGCAAATTCAATGCAATTGTATAGGAATTTAGTTTGTGTGTAATGAAGTGGTGAGTCTTTGGCTAAGAAATATTGAATGGCTCGAAGGCCATAATTATGTTTGATGGACGTGTACAGTGATACCACATCCAAGGACACTTGTATCCTGCCAGAATTTTTAATATGTGACTGGAGTCCTTCACATATGACAAGATTGATCACTATCTCTTTAAGAAAGAGATCAATATAGCAGCCTAAATTGCTTGTGAGGCTGCCTATGCCAGAGATGATAGGTCTGCCAGGGGTGTTGTCTTTATTTTTGTGGATCTTAGGGATATGATAAAAAAAAATGGAGTGGCAGGGTGTTTTGGTGTATAAAAAAAGGAATTCATCTTTGGTAAGTATTTAGTGCTGACTCTAGTAGTGTTTTGAATTTTTGTTGGCACTGGACTATAAGATCCACTTTAGCAGAGATGGCGTCATAGGTCTGACGGTCATTAAGAAGTCTCAAAACTTCAGTAATATAAGTATCCCGGGCTTGAATGACAAGACCTCCTCCTTTGTCTGCTTGCCTGATTATTACATTTTTATTTTCTTTAAGTATTTTTAGAGGAGCTGTGAGTGGGTCCTGTTGTAAGTAGTGTTTCCGTGCGGGTGCAATAGTATTACAGATTTTCTTGAATTCTGTTAACACTGTCTCATAGAAAATGGGTATATGGTGACCTTTAACGCAGTGAGGGTAAAAAGTGGATTTGGGTTTGAAACTGGTATGCATAATCTCCCCCTGGGAGGCAGCCGCCATCTCTGCTAAAGTGAGATGTTCTAGTTCACTATACATTGAAACACCTTCTGTGTAAAGGTTTTCTAGAATATTTAAAATAGGCGTTTCCAATGAATCATCCGACAAAGGAGGAATGGGGGAGTGATGCACGTGGTTGACAGTGTCAATGGTTGTTTTGTCTTTGAGTAGAAAGAATCTCTTGACCGTCAGGTTTCGAATGCACTTGTTCAAATCAACAAAAAGTTCAAACAGGTTAGGGGAATTGGGAGGGGCAAAATTGAGAGCTTTTTTAAGGAGTTCAAGCTCCGTGTCAGAAAAGATGGAATGAGATAAGTTGTAAACTTTAATAGTAGAAAGGGGAGCTGTATTGGTTATCTCCTTCCTCTTTTGGTGTCTCTTTCCCCCTCTTTCCTCGTCTCGTATGCTTTCTCTCTTTCTCCATTGAGGAATTGTTGATATTGTGTGATCTGTTACGGCTGCGGACAATGAGTTATTCGCAGCCTTTTTTTGTGGAACATGCCACCTCATTTGACAAGGTGTTGCAAGGGTTATATATCACTTCCCGATGGAGAGGATTCTTCAATCACTCTCCCAGCCCTTGCCTCGTCAGTGTAAGTGTTCTAGCAAGGGATTTGGGGTTGGACGAGGTGTTCAGCGCCGCCCCACGCATGTGCAGTGATCCGTTGGATATGCGTTCCAAGACGACACCGACAGACCAACATTCTCCTTATTGTACATGCATATGTTGGACCGCGCATGCACATTCATCACCACGCTCTATTGGCGTGCGTTCCACACACACAGACTGCCTGAAGCCATATTTGGTATGAAGGCACGAGATCTCCCTCTGCTGCTGGCCTGAAATTATTACTCATCTCTATCACCCCCAACAAACATCATGGATGTGGAATCACTGTATAAGCAAGCACACCCTGGTTGCCAGTAATTTATAGGTTTTACTATACCTGATCATACCATCTCATAATTTATATTTATGTATATATATTGATTTAATTATTCATTCATTTTATATTACATTATATGAACTATTCATTTTCACTTTCCACCTAGAGATATCCTTCCTAATGGAATATAATTTTATTTATCTATTTAAACATAAGTTTATTGATCTATTCGGATTTAAATATACACACATATACCATCTTTAACCAGTCATTATCCACATCTGGGCATGTTTGTATAACAACATCGTATAACAACATCATTCTTAAGATTTTTTAATTTCTCTTTTTATGTATTGTTCATGCATTTTTCATGTATTGGTAATTGTAATTTTTATCTAATTTTTATCAAGTTTGTAAATGTATTATACTATCACTATTGAAATTGTAAGGGACCACTAGCACTCCACTGATCGGATGTTCCCAGCGCACGGAGTCTAAGCCCCAGAGTACTTGTTCACCAGGGCCCCTGATGGTGGGGATGGACTTGGAGTACCTCAGGACCAGGTCGTGACTACTGAGGACACCCGTCAGTGGTAGGGGTATTCGCCAGGGGCTCCCACGGGAGAGAGCCAGGTATGAGGAGGTCTGGAGACCCCGTTGAGAGGGACGGATGGATGGATGGCTGAGCAGGTGCAGGGTCATACAAGCCGGGTCGGTAACTATGGGGACGGTGCGGTACAGATCAGCGGGCAAAGAATAGTCGGGTCACACGCCAGGTCAGCAACAGCAGGTCAGATCCAGTAGGGGGCATTCAGGAGAGAGGTCAGGCAAGCAAGGGTCAAGAACAGGAGAAAACAGCAAGGTCAGGGCACAATCCGGGTCAGCAACTTACTACAACAGGTTCACAGGTTCACAGGATACAAGGAGACCAAAAGGCACTGAATGACAGCTCAGGGCCGTTTAAATATCCCGCCCTGCGCTGTCATTGGTGCCAGGCGCGCGCCCGTGGTCACTACTGCGCATGCGCGGACCTGATTGCCGCGGTCGGCCAAGTCCCGGCGCTCGCGTACAGGGAGGTGTACTGCGCCTGCGCCGAGCCCAGCGGCGCGGCGATCTCCGACAGAAATTGTATCACCAGTATATACTGTTGAGATATTTTGTTGACACCTTGGCCCCTGCTCCCAGCCTAAGACGGCCCAACCCAGAAGGGAGAGTCCAGCTTCAGTTCTAGGGTATATAAGGGAGAGAGTACTCATTGTTCAGTTAGCTCTGATGAAGAAGGGATGCCCTTTGAAATGTGTTAGCTGTACCCTGAGTGTCTACCCCTATGATGGGACTCGCGCAGGCTTCACAATTATAAAGTTCCTTTGAGGACTTACATGCTTGATTTTCTTCGCTCTTTGTGAGTATCATTCTGTATTCAATAAAATTTTGGTTTACTGAGGTAATGCACAAGGTTGGTGTGCTTTCTAATTTTTGTTTCGCTTCGCAGTTGTCTGTTTCTGACTGTGGTAAGGGGCAGTGTGGTGCGTGATTCGGCGCATCACACAAAGCTTTTTTTTTTGTACAAACTTTTGAAATGCACAAAAGTGCACTTTATTCATGTCATGCAGTTCTGTACAGTGCCTGGATAAAATACAGCAAGTCTGCATTTTATCACAGAATGCTGCAATGCAGCTTTTGACTCCATTGCAGTGTGAATGGGACATAGAAAGCAAGTATTTTTTCTGTGTCCTTGTGATGACAGGCGTTTTACAATGCAGTAAAACATTGCATGTGTGAATTTGCCCTTAGTGAATGTGTTGGATCTTCACTTTGTAAAAACTACCCAATGCATTTTTGCTTGCACATGATTGGATGATGGAAATTTTTTGAGCATCACTACATTCACTAAGCTATGTGCAAAGTGCACAGTCTATTAGTCTTTAGTAAATCCACCCCATTCTCTTGCACTACTGCTATCTCTGAATTCTCACACTACAAAAGTACACTGAACTTTATTCATGTCACATTCATGAAACCGTCACATAACATTCTGATCAATGCCTGAGCTGTAACAATCTTTAGGGGGTATTTACTAAAATTGGGAGCATACAACTCTGCAGAGAAACCAATCAGCTTCCAGGTTTTATTGCCAAAGCTTATTTGAACAAGCTGAAGTTAGAAGCTGATTGGCTACCATTCACAGCTGCTCCAGATTCTGTGTACCAGTTTTAGTAAATCCCCTCCTTTATGTTCGAATATAAGGGCTACTCTAACACCAGAGCAAATACAATGGTGGTATAACTACTCCATTTGGTGCTATAAACACAAAAAAACATACAACACAGAAATATATTGTATTTGACTTATAATCATTATTATCGTTTTGCATACAAATTAGTAATCAGTGTAGTTCTGCAATATTTAGGCACACATGCACAAAAATACCCAGAGCAATTCCAGATGAAAGTAAATATTTAATATTTCCTTACCCATTACAATCATAGCTATGCTTAATCCAATCCAGATGATAAATGAACATATTTGGACACCTAGAAAATAAATATTTTAGAGTTACATTTTGGTAGTCAGCATAGTTGACAACATTTAAAAAAAAAAATTTATGGACACTTTTGCACTGTACATCCACAAAGCCATTGTAGGTGGAGCATGTACTTTAATTGAGGGGGGGTAATTATTTAAAATAGGCGTGGTTTTGCACACGGCATATCGTTAACCTAATGTTATACTTTAAATAAATGAGAAGCCTCACAATAATTAGCAACTAAAGGAAAAAGCGGAGTTAATCTGTGAAATGCTTTTCCCATATTTACATCAGTTTAGGGGTGGATTAACACTTTGACTGATGTAATGCATTATATTATTCTGTCAAAATATGTATGTTCATACACGAATGAATAGATGTGCTTGGCAAAAAATATTTTTTTTATGTAACTATAATAAAGAATACAATTTTTTATATTTACTGTGCTCTTTATGTGTACCGAGATAGTTCATTCTCTCTCTTTTTTTAGAGTTTTTTTTCCCCCCTCTTTTTACTATGTAATGTCACACTTTAATTAAACATATATAAGTGAGCTGTAGTTATAGGGCTAAACAAATACAATAGTAAACAAACAACAAACATTGGTAGTAACAGTAGACATGTAAACACTGATCCCAAGATTTTAACCTGTTGCCGTCCGCACTATAGCAGATTCTACTGCTACAGCATGGACTCCCAGTGCTAAATCACGTATATAAACATATATATATCAAGTATATGCCGCTCCCGGCATGTTGACAAGTAGGAGGTGCACATGTGCGCCCGACGGCCCGGCGGTGCTGTGATTCGGTACAGCACCGATCACTCACCAGATCCAGGCCAATGATGTTAGGACCTGCTGATCGGTTGTACCAAATCAGAGCTCATCATGTGCCTTTGTTCACAGAACACAGGCACAGGAAATGATGCAATCTTCTCTCCCTGAAGATCATTCTGTTCCAGAAAGGGGAAGAAAGCAGATCCACATGAGTCAAAGCAGCACACTGACACGGTATAAGCACTGTTAGGTCACATTTAACCCCCTGATCACCCCCCAGTTAACTCTTTCACTGCCCTGTCTCCAGTGTTATTAGTACAGTGTACAGATTTTTTTAATGATCACTGTATTAATGTCACATGCGACAGTTAGCGTCAGTTAGCATTCCTCCCAGATGGCGTGAGATTGCTCGCCACTACATTACCATCACATTTAACCGTTTGATTGCCAGGAACATGCTCACATACACACTATAAATTTCCATTTTTAGTATAGTGTCTGAACGGATCAATATCTTTGATCAGATTCGAATTATACCAGCATTCACAATAGTATAGTGTCCCCAAAAATGCAGCATTAGCAGAATCAGCACTGACACCTGCCAGCACCTGCGTTTAGCCCCTTTGACCACCCCACCACCAGCAAGTGCAGTGTCAGTAGATCACTTCACTTGTCATATTACACACAGAACTGCAACATTAACAAGATCTGGCCTGATCTCTGCTAGCACTTGCAGGTACATTTTTTTGTAGCAGTCCCTGACAGCCAGGTGCTCTTTCTCCCATGAGTCACACTAGTTACTAGTTTGGCTCTGTGCAACGATTTTGTGCTTTCCAAATCAACTGGAAGAAGTGGATCCTTCCTAAAATTTCAGGAAGAGATCATCATGTCCCTTTTGTATCCAAAAAGTACTGTGGCCCAAACCCCCAACCCAGATGCAATAAGGCAGTTGCATTAGAGGCATTTTCCTGATGCCATTCCTGGTACCCCAACCCAAAAGTCACCCCAAAAAAGATGTCTGTGTAGCAGACATGTTATTATATGTGACACCTGCTTTTTTTTGTCCCTCCTGTCCTGGTCTACCTGGTCTCTGCCTCAAGGACTGTGTCCGTTGCTACCACACACTACTGGAGTATTAGTATAGGGTACAGCACAGCACAGTCTAGGGAACATATTTACAAAGGGTCTCGAAAGATGTTAGGTAGTCAGGAAAATATAATTCGCATTTTGAGACTCTAAAATCTGGAAAGTTTACTGTTTTACAAAAATACATTTCAAAAAAGATTTTTAAAAAACCAAAAAGTAAAAACAAACCCCATAAAACAAACTAAAAAAAATGAAAAAGCTAAAAATAGTTGATGTTTTATTGAGTTACTGTTCTATAGTTACTGTTTTATTGTTAACCGCTGTTGTTTTCTTTGCAGGAATGCCATTCAGCTGCAGCACCTATCTGTTTATTCTGACAGCAACAGGGTGTGCTCTCAGAATATATGTCAGTGTGTGCAGTGCTGCTGGATGAGATTTATCATCCACAGTTAAAAAAAAGAACATATATGACCAGGCATGGGGGCCTGGGGTGATCAATGAGTGGATTGCTCCTATGCTTCAGCATATATAGTTTTAATATTTTTTGGCACAGATTTCAATAAAAAAAAGTTGTTGTTTTATTGAGTTAATGTTCTATTCTTACTGTGTTTTATGGTTAACCATTGTTGTTTTCTTTGCAGCAACGCCATTCAGCTGCAGCACCAATATGTTTATTCTGACAACAGGGTTTGCTCTCAAAATTTAAGCAAGTGCGTGCAGTGCTGCTGGATGAGATTTATCATCCACAGTTTAAAAAAAGAACAAATATGCCCAGGCATGGGGCCTGGGGTGGTCAGTGCCACCCATTCCACCATCCCCACCATTGCTCCTATGCTTCAGCATATATATTTTTAATATCAGCAAAGTCATATCCTAAAAACCTTGCCAGACATAGCAGCAGAATTTGAAAAATATTATATAGCACTCTATAACCTTCCACAGGCACCGTGACTGGCAGAGGATGCTCGACCACGCACAGAAATTATTCGGGATTTTCTGGCCCATCTCCCTAAACCTATCTCTCAAACAAAAGCACGTGAATTAGATGGTCTGTTAACCTTTGAGGAACTTGAAACGGTGATCTCCCAACTGAAACCTAGCAAGATTCCGGACCCTGATGGGTTTACAGCGGTTTATTATAAAACCTTCTTGGAGATCCTTGCACAACCTTTTTTGCATGCGTTTAATTTGCTGGTTACCCCGGGACAGTCAATGCTGTATCTTTCAAAACCTCATATATCACTTATACCGAAAGGAGGCAAGAACGCTACATCGGTAGCCAACTATCGCCCAATCTCCCTACTTAACGTAGATCTAAAAATCGCCTTCTTCACATAATTGACTCTCTCATATCAACTGACCAGGTTGGGTTTGTGCCAGGAAGAGAGGCGAGAGATAATACCGTAAGGGCAATAAATATACATCATTGGCTGACACATTCGAAGTAGCAAGGCTTCTTTCTTTCACTTGATGCAGAGAAGGCATTTGACATGTTGGCCTGGGGCTACCTGGAAGCGGTCTTACAGAAAATTGGCTTGCCCCTGCACCTAATAGACTTAATTATGTTTTCATACGCCACACCCACGGCCCCACCTTTTGCTGACGATATCCTACTTTTCCTCTCTGAACTGTACATCACTCTCCCCAATCTTCTCCAGGATTTCAAAACCTTCCAATATATTTCTACTTTAAAATTAACTTCAATAAATCACATACATTTAATATCACATTACCTACAACAATTTTCAGGCAAATACAAGACAATTTCCCTTTCACGTAGCAACCAGAGGCTATTACCTACATAGGGGTTCAACTCCCATCTTGTCTTTCAGAACTCTATCTGAGAAACTTTCTTCCCATTTTCCAAAACATAACTAATGATCTTCAGACCTGGGACAAACCGATATTTTCTTGGTTCGGCAGAGCTGTGATACTCAAAAGGAACGTGCTTCCTCATCTATTATACATTATGCAAACAGTCCTGATCAGTTTTACAAACTCATTCTTTGGCTCCTACAAGAAGTTATGCACCACATTCATATGGTGCCACAAACGTCCCCGGCTCAGCTATGAGCAACTTACAATGCTAAAGCAAAAGGGAGGAATTGGACTGCCTGACATTCGCCAGTATTACTGGTCTTGCCACTTGGCGAGAATAGATGATTGGACCTCCGACTATGCAAGGAAGGCATGGGTAAACTTGGAAGCTGCCTTCTCTGCAACTCCCCTATCTGTATGTCCATGGCTGGTGAGGCAACACACCCCAGCCACACTCAAAGAACACCCACTCATTGGGCCTATGTTGTCATGTTTTCATTTGGTATGTGCAAAATCAGGATTGTCCTCGACATCTGGTCCTCTTACACCTATCCGAATGAACCTGCATTTCCCTTCTGGAATGTCCCCTACATTCATGTTTGAAGCCTCACCTCTTGCTAACCTGAGGTCTCATCATTTCTTTAAAGACGGCGTACTCCTGATGAGAGAGCGCCTCATAGCTAAATAGTCAGCAATTAAACTAACCCCATGGGCATTTATACAGATTCATAATTGTTTACGTAGTCCAGACCAAAAAAGGGCTCTGGCAAGGCTCCTCACTCAATTTGAAAAAATCTGCTCTACAGATACCCCTCAGAGACAAACTATTTCTGCAATATATACCTTGTTGCGAGATGAAAATGAAACAACCACAAGAAAGGCATGCATGGCCTGGACTAAGGGCTTACAATTGGACCTATCACTGGAAAACTGATACCGGATTTACGGGAACATTTACAAAGGCTCAATATGCGTTTCGACCCAAGAAAACAACTACAAACTGTATTCCAGATGGTATAGAGTACCTTTTTTGCTCCATAAATTTGACCAGAGTATTTCTAACTCTTGTTGGCGATGCCACCAAGCGATTGGTATACTCCTACACATCTGGTGGGAGTGCCCAATGCTACAGCGTTATTGGCTTCAGATACATTCAATCATTGCTCAAGTGACGACCTACTCCCTGGACCTATGTCCCGCGCAATTCTAACTTCACCATTCATCACTTTCTTCTAAAGCTTATATTAAATCACTTGCACTTTTCATATGGTGAATGCAGCAAAGCAATGCATACCTATCCACTGGTGTTCTACACACATTCCTTCTATT